GGTCATAAAAGACCAGAAGACTTGGAAAAAGGGATCTGATGCGGGTAAAAACATCAAACTTACTAAAGGTTGGCTTAGAAAAAATGATTTGGTTACAACAAGAGCGGACAAAAGCAAAGCTTTGGTAATTATGAAAAGACAGACATATAATAACGCGATGGAGGAATACATTAAAAAAACCGAATGCGAGAGTGTTGAAGCAAATGTTATTGAAAGCATCGACAGAAGGGTTAGGAAGCTTGAAAAGGCTAAGCTGAGTAATGCATTACCTTTTCTCAAAAATTGTCGAAATCCCAGTCCAGGTATGCCAAGATTGTTTGCTTTTGCCAAGACCCATAAAGAGGGCAAAGAAATGAGACCTGTAGTGGAAAGGTGCAGAGGACCAACGTTTATTCTTGAAAAGAGATTACATAAGTTTCTCACCTCGCACCTCGAGAATAATATACATGTAGCGCATGATCCAAGAGAAGTGGTTAATGAGATACAAGATCTAGTTTTAATGGAGGATGAAATTGGAACAGTGATGGACTATGAAAGTTTATACTCATCTATAAAAATTGAATCATGCAGAGTAGCACTTTTAGACTTCATGCTGAGCAAGAGCCCAAATACTTTTGTACTGTTAGACGTCCGTGTTTATTAATAACTCCTCAACGATAGTGCTCGCGAGAAGAGTACGAGATCTCGTCCCGTCCCGTTTTTTAAAGATTAATATCCCCGTTTTGTTAGTTTTGGTTTCGTTTTTTTACTTCTTGTTCTTTTCTCTGTGCAAACAACTGCTTTGTGATTTATGTCCTTAATAATAACTTCAATAAAGTATTTTGAAGACATTGCTGGTATGTATAATTTGTCATCCTATCCTGCGCTATGAACGGACGAATTATCATTGGCTTATCGTTAAAAGTTAATGATAAAAGATCTTAACCCTAACATGTACCAGGTGTTGTTCTACCTAGTGCTTTTATACTAATATAGTACCTTTTTACTTGTCCCAGTACCAAGATACCCAACACCATTTTCCTAGTACCATTCATGAAATCCTTATACCTTTCCTTTCAAAACATTCATTTTTATTCTATATTTCTGTATTTTTTTTACTTTACTTTGACAGTAAATAGATGTTTTTATTGCTTCCTCATTCAAATGCAGCAGTTGAACGTATTTTTTTGCAATTAAATTTAATGAAAACTAAACTACAAAATCGAGTTCTTACAGCGATAAATGTTAAACTTGGAAATCATCATCTGCTTCAACCATACAAAAATATTCTAGTGAAAAAGATTTTGATGATGATGATCTTACCAGCGATTTTTCTACTTCATGTTCATTTTGCTCATTTGATTGTTGTTGAGGAATAATTGCATTCTTGTAATATATGAATTTTGTATGTTACATGTAACACTATACAGTATAAGGCATTTACAAGAAGCTGACATTGGCAAACAGTTGCAATTAGCGTAACGTTATTTGTTACTAATTTTATCAAAAACAATTAAAATTTATAAAAATTACGCCCTAGTAACCATGTTTCGTACCATTCCGTATATCATAGTATTTACCATTAGTCATTTTGTTTCTAGATGCATTTTCTTTTCTTATTTCTTTCTTTCTAGGATATCATTTATCTGGAATTTATATTAAATTTTCTTTAAAAAATAAGCTATTATAAACTAAAAAGTCTCCTGTCAAGCATGACTGAATACTTACTGGAGCTATCTTTTTAAAAAGTTTAAATTTAATTAAGTAAATTTAAAATTACGCCATTTGCCAAAATATTTAAAAATGCAACTTAATGAGGAAAATTTCCCCAAAGTATTCTCGGTCCTTTCGGAAAGAATGGCTTCAAGAAAAAAATCTTAAAGGTGCTTACCTTTAAGATTTTTATCTTGAAGCCATTCTTTCCGAAAGGACCGAGAATACTTTGTCCATTTTCCCATTTTAATACCAATAATAAATAAATTATAAAACTTATATAAATTATACTTTGTTTAAAAACAAAACGAGTAGACAGCACAACAAGTATTACCGCAAAACAAAGGATGAAATAATTTGTGTAACCAGCCCAGAATGTAGCGAAGTCAAATTTTTGTAGCCCAAAAAGTAGCCAGTGCGCCAAATGCTTTTTTTAACGCCAAACTGAAAAATAAGTAGCCCAATTTGGCGCAAAGTAGCCAAATCTGGCAACGCTGTATTACAATTCCTGCCACGTGACAGAAAAGGGTTAAAAGTGGAAGGAAGAAGGATTATAGGAAAGCTATTCGTTTAATTATTATACGATATAATGAATAAAATGTCTAATTATTCTTAATATAATGTTTTACTATATCGCCCCCAGAAAATTAAAAATCGCCCCCAGAAAATTGAAAATCGCCCCCCCAAAATATAAATTGTTACTAATCGCCCCCCAACATGGAAAAATCGCCCACCTGGGGGCGATATCGCCCCCGTTGAGAAACACTGATTTAGATAAAACGCCAATTTAAT